TTTAGGAGGCAACTTCTCTCTGTAGCTGATAGAATTTTGTTCTGACAATAGTTTTGTTACTTTAGTCCCTATCACACTGTTATGTCAACATACCTAGGAAGCAATTGTTAATGTTACACAAATTGCTTGCATCAGTAAATGCCACCATCCTGTCGTGGAAACTAGTTGCTTTTAGGCAATATGCATGCAGTGCTCTTACATAGAGTTTTTGTTGTTGTTGTTAAGGATGAAAAAAAATGCAGGCAGGCCAAAGATAATTCTTCAGTTGTACTTTAGCACAGAGGATTATTTTAAAGCCTAGTGACTTGTAACACAAAGAATGAATGCAATGGTCTATTAAATAGTGCCACATCTTAACAAGTGTGTTAAAGAAGAAAAAAGAAATAATGTAAAATACTGTTTTCCGTCTGTTTAGCATTCTCTGGATTTTCAACTAATACCAAGTATGACCCATATCAGATTAAAGCAGAAATAGCCAGCCGTCGTGACAGAGTGAGTAATCTTTTTTTTGTTTTGTAAAAATACGAATTAGGCCTGGGGAAGGGGGTGGGACTATGTGTTTGTCTTTTACCTTAACATTTACACTGGGTGTTGCATGCATTTTTGGAAATATACTATTAAAAAATGTTTTTCTGTTCTGACCTATTGTTCTATTAAAACAAGTCTATATTGTGAGTGACTTGCAGAGTATGCTTTTTCCATGTTACAAGCATAAAGATTTTTGTCATGGACGTCAGAAGCAAACTCAGCCAGGCTTTCAGAAATTGCTTTCTCTGTGCAAACTGCCACAAGTAGTAAATACTTTGCAGCCACATTCTTTCTTGATTAAGTGCAGTTCAAACCCACTGTCTTCATAGTTTGCCATTTACCCATTTTCAGTGGGGTTATATGGATGTCATTGAACTCTAGATTTAGCCATTTATTTGGAAATCCGTTCACAATTCAGTAGACATGTTGGCCAAATAGAACTTTTTAGCTGATTTGGCCAGAGCTCCTCTATGCGGGGAGGGGAGTTCAGGCATTCTGACAGTGATAGGCAGTTCTGTAATAAAAATGTTCCATTTTTTTTTTATACATATATAATTTTTTTTTTTTT